GAACCATCCATCTAAATTCAACTCCCAGGGAAAAATGGAGCTTGATCAAGCCACAGTTTTGACCAAATGGGTACTCGTTCTAGTGTATGTTTATTTTTAATGATAATGTGGTGAGTATATAAGAACACACTTGCACTCCAAGTAAACTTTGAAATTAGTAAAGCATCTGGGGAAAAGTATAAGATACTATTTAATTCTGTGAAGACAGGAAAATTTATGCTTTAGTTCTTAATTTTTCACAAATTTATATTCTCATTAGAATTGATGACTCAGATGGGAAGGTGAAGTTAAAGTGTATATAAAGTTATTATATAGAATCCATGCTGATATTTTTAAAATTTGTAAATACAGTGAGAGGCTATACTTGTTGAATTCTTGTACTTCTCTTCAAAGTATATAAAAATCACTATGATTAAATTGTTAGTGAGTCCAAATGCATTTTGTAGAGATGTAGTATATAAATGCTATTCTCATTAAAATCCATATGCCTATTTTTATTAGTTCAGATATCTTTCTACAGATAAATATCTGTATATCTGTATGCATGTATATGTGTATATAATATATATAGTGTATATATTATATATATAATATATGCATATTACCATATAGAACTTTAAGATTTATGAGGTCCCCTAGGGCATATAGAGTAACAGTTCTTTGGAAGAGTAGTGCTAAGTCTATGTGGCTGGGGGCGTCGGGGTGCTTCAGTCGTTAAGCATCTGCCTTTGGCTCAGGTCATGATCCCGGAGTCCTGGGATCGAGCCCTGCATTGGGCTCCCTGCTCGGTGGGAAGCCTGCTTCTCCCTCTCCCACTCCCCCTGCTTGTGTTCCTTCTCTCGCTCTCTCTCTCTCTCTCTGTCAAATAAATAAATAAAATCTTAAAAAAAAAAAAAAGTCTATGTGGCTGGGCCCTAAAAAGGGAAGTTCTCCAAAATATCTGTTCAAAAACAGTTTTATAATGAATTTTAAAAATGTGCAATATTGTAAGATACCAGGAAAGAAAAAGTCAGACAAAACCAAGATCCTCCCCACCCCAATTCCTTGTCTTTCTTTTATTCTTGTTCCTCAGGTGGAAATCTTCTTAGAGACTAAGGTGTTAAGGATAAGGAATTTATAAGAAGTGACACCCCCTCCCCCCCAGTTCCCAATCCCATTTGTGGGAGAATAATCCAGACAAATTCAAACAGAAGGTTTTGCACTGCCCTAGCCTGGGCAGAAACAAATTTAGATTTACTGGCAACTAATTAGTTGTCAATTCTTCTACAGGATTGGTTGCCTTAGGACATGCACCAAAAGGAGTGGGTAGGAAGAGCTTAGTCACGACCTACCCAGGCTGGCTCTCAAATCACAGTCAGTGCACTGTGCTCCATCACAGAGAGAGAAGCAAGAAATCAGACTGGATTTGTCGGATATTTGTGAAAGCTGGATGATCCTCGAAGATATTTGGCTGGACTGGCAACACAGTGAAATCTCAGTATAGATACAGCAATTAAAGTAGAGGTCCACTGCCTGCAATAAGCTTTTCTGATTTCCATTTCCTTTAATGTGCTTCGAAGTCAAATCACAGCGACCCAACTTCAGTAACATTGGAGAACATTTTGTGGGGAGGAACTAAGAATTATGGTTTATAATGAATTTTTGGAATCTAGTTTTTACTGAAGTCTGTCTCAAGTAAGTGCACACCCAAGTCCAGAGACTGTTCTAACATATAGTTTAAAAAAATGGTGAAAATCATCGCAAATAGCTTGAATTTTGTGAAGTTCCAGGTAAATGGGTCATGTGACAGTGAGATTACAAGTTTATTAAGGGTGCTAACGGGGAAGCTTAATTTTTTTAGAACAAATCATTCAAATAGATACAAATTTTGAGGTAAAACAAACCAACCTAAAATCTATAATTCAGCATTGGGATCCAGAAAAAAAAGCTACACTGGTAAATATGAAAATAATCTATGAAGATATTTACAAAAATTGTGGCATTCATAAGAGAGAAATTTTGTGGAGCATACAGTTAAGGTCGAAAGGAAACTATGAGCTGTTCAACTTCCATGATCAAAATATAAACAATTTAGTAGTAATATAAATGGCAAAGTGATAGAGATCTTAATGAAGATTGACTCACAGAAACGGAAAATAGGATCTTACAGTAGGAAGTAAAGTGTTCACACCAATAGATGTTTAGATTCCCTAGTTGCAAGGTTTTAAATGGCATGCTTTTTATCTTGGTGAATTTCAATTAGACTCTGCAATGGGCAAGTCAGGAAGGGAATATTAATGATGGAGGAGAAGGCTGGGGTGGTGTTCCATTCTTCACAGAGCCAGCTAAATAGGAGAGCAAATGTTTGTTTAGATTGTAGCATATTAAATGCTCATTCAGAAAGTGGTGATTAATAGGTTAAAAAGAACAGCTTGAAATATTTACAATGTAAAGGTTTTACTCTCCTCACATAATCTTCAAGGCAAAGCTAAAATTTACTGTAGATTAGCAGTGTCTGTTGTTATGAAAACTGCACCATCTAGGAAAAACATCTGAATTTTTGGTTCATAACTAACGAAATTGAAGTGTTTGGCACATATTGACTCTGAATGTAATATGAGAAAAACATATCAGCATACTTATCTTTTTCCCCCTTTTAAAGTGTCTAACGTTTATAACAACTTCTTGAAGAGATAAACACCCGCTCTGCCTTGCCTTAGTAGGATGTGCATAACATTCTGTCTTATGTGCAGTACAAAAAGGAAAATATCTTCTCTCTCCTTTTTTCTGTTCAAGTTGCACGTTTGGATTTTATCGCCTCAGATAAAATAGAAGATAAACGAGACAGATCAAACACAATACTGAAAGTGTACTATGGGAGTGGAATTACAACAGGTCCCCTTTACCAGCAAAAAACCCTACAGGGGGGACACCTCAAACCCTGCGAGACTTCATCTCCCCTCTGCCCCCCCTCCGTGCCCCCACCCCAAGAACTGCAGAGGTAGTAGAAGCACAGCCTGTACCTTTTTGCTGGGGTAGGGTGGGTGCGGGGGTGCGGAATGTAAACTTTTTTAGAGCTTTGCTGATTGAGTTTGATCATCATGTAGGGAGGACGCCCGTGAAAAGACGTTGGGGAAAAGAATTGCCGAGAGTGAGCGGGGGGTTTCCCCAAGGTGCAAAATCTGCACATGGACTGGAGAGAAGTTTCCAGTCCTCTGAGCTTCGAGGGTAAATTGGTCCTGATTGCAGAAGTGTGAAGGAATGAGTGGTATATCAAGAGGGCTCAGAAAATCAAAGAAACTTCCTGCTGTCTGATTCCACGCAACATGCGCTGAACTTGATCCTGCGTGGATGCGCTGATGACTACGTAGAGGCTGATTAGAGTCCCCTCGCCCTCCAGCGGGAGTGGTACCTCTTTACCGCTCCTCAGCAGCCACGTCGCTCCAGAGCCAGGGGATTTTGGGGGGCGGGCGGCAGGGCGAGGCCCCGGGGATCTAGGGCCGCACAGACACACTGCGTTTGCGACTCCGCACCAACACCCAACAGGCAGCCCCGCCCCCAGGAACCTCGGGGTCTCGGGGGAGCTCCGGCGGGTCGCCGCGGGGAGCAGTCGGGGCGGCGCGTGGGCTCCGCTCCTCCGGCGGGGCGTGGGCGCGGGAAGCAGCGCTCGGGGCGCACCGGGGAGCTTGCCGCCGCCCCGGGCAGTGCCGCAGCAGGTGCCCGGCGGGGGGTGGGCGGTTACCCCGGATCCGGGCGGGGGTGGGGGTCCCTGCGTTCCCGGGAACCTCGTTAGCCCTCCTCCCGGGCCTGGCTCCTCCTCCTCCAGGCGTGGGGCTCGTGCCCGCCACAGCCTGCGCGCACCGCGCTTCGGCTCGCGTCCCCCCACCCCGCCCGCTCCTGCCAACGCTTCCCCTCCTCCTCTTCCTCCTCCTCCGCCCATCACCACCACTACGGACGCCTTTGCCTCCATCTACTCGCGTCGCGGCCGCCGCTCTCCGCGCTCCCCTCCGGCTTCCACGAGCCCATCGCTCCCCGCTCGCTCGGCTGCTGCAGTCGCTCGCTCTCTCTCTCTCTCTCTCTCTCACTCGCGCTCTCCCTCAAGTTTCCTATCTCCTCAGATCAGGGCAAAGGGAGGAAAACAGCCGATTCTGCTTGCTGTTTCAGGTAAGGTCGCACACGTCGGTCCCAGGAGGGACCCCTTCCCATTTGCCTTTGCCTCCGGTGCATGCCTCGTCTCCCCCACCCCACTCTCCGATGCTCCCCGAAGCCCGGGAGGTTCGGGTCGCCTCCTCCTCCACAGCACATTTGAAAAAATAATTTCGATACTCATCCCCAGAAGCGTATCTGCAACTACAATAAGATCCGAGACGCCCGCCTGCCCGCCCGCGCGGCAGGAAGCACGTTAGCCTGGCTCTTTTTTAGTCTTCAACTTTGCACGCTGTGATCGCCGCTGCCTGCCGGCCGCGGCTGGATCCGGGAGCCTCACGCTCCTGCTCCGATTGTGGTGCTCGGCTCCGGAACAGCTGTCCAACGCGTCGTTTCGCAGCAGTTGATCCGAACCCAGCTGCCGGCAAGACGTGGTCTTGGGCAAACTGTGCCTGGGCAGGGAGGGAGGTTCTTTTCTTTTCTATTATTTTAGAGGGAGGGAAGAAGTAAAGACGTGAGGACTGCAGTTCACTGTAATGAAAAGAATAATCGAAAAAGTGGGCTGGCCGCCCCTTGCTTTCCCCGCTGGGGTTGCGGGGGTGGTCTTGGTTGTTGAGGTTTTGGCACCGAGTACCCATCTCTCCTCCCCCTTTTCACTCTCCCCTCGGACCCATTCTCTTCTCCAGCTCCTATGTCAGTTCAGGGTCCCGTGTGTTTTTATTACGTGTGTGTGAGCACAAAACAGTTTGCTGACGATGGGGCTGGGTGTAAGTTCCCGGCAGAGCAAAGTCTGATTATTTGGTCATCTTGCTGTCAAAAGAAAAAAAAAAGAAAAGACAAGAGGCCCCCCCCGCCCCCCACCCCCCATCATCACACCTTACACTCGCTCCGTTGGAATAATTCTATAGCTTTAACTCCAATTCTCAGTTGAATTGACATTCTTTGGGGCTATTTGGATGGTGGAACTGAATGTAATTTTAAGTGCATTTTATTTTTCTTCCATGGCTTTACAAAGAGTGGCAATGAAGACGAAATTAAACACCTACAACATGCAGTTGCTGCTGCTGCTTTTCTTGTTGTGGGACCCAGCCAGGTGAGGCATTTATTTATTGTATTTGATTTTTTAAATTCAGGGTAACGGTGTGTCTGTTGAATGCTATCAATGCTGAGGTGGCTTTTGAGATGCTGAAGTATTTTGAAGAGTCAGTTCTAATGAAAAAAGGTTGTATCAGGAAACTGAACTAGAAAGTGGCAGAGGCTATAAAAAGTTCACTGCTTCTTGTTTTTAGTGATAAAATACAAAAGTAATCAGAAACATTTTCTTAAAAAAAAAAAGGAAGAAAGAAAAGAAAATCTCCAAAGAAAAGACTTATCTTTTGAATGGCACAGTCTTGCAAGGAATTGAAGTGGTTTAAGTTATATGCGTTTATAATAACACCAAGATTCAGTAAAATAGCCAACAATTTTTCTTTAAGCTAAACAGAAAAGCACAAGTTAAAATGATTTGATTAACTTATTTTTTTCTTCCTTCCTTCTTTTTTTTCTTCTTTCTTTCTTTCATCTTTTTTTAATGGTCTTGGCTCTTTTAGTCAGCGTAGAAAACCCAAAGGATGTGTGAGTCTTTAACCTCTAGGTGGAGGTAGTATACAACTTCAGAATCACAAACAATAAAACAAAAGCTTGATTTATTAATCAACTTTTCATATTACTGATTTAGAGATCTTTTATTCCTAAAATGGTTACTGTCATAAACAGTACTTATTTTAAACATGTAACTAATTTTGTTTTGCTTATGTTCTACAAACATGAAATTCTTATTGCTTTCCATAACATCATCTTAATTGTAGTCTTTTCTGATTTTTCTCATCACTGGGCATTTTTTATTTATGGTCTAAATTTAGGAAATGATTTTCAAAATATTAGAGGACTTAAAATATAAGAGTTATAAGAATGTTCATGTAACCATTCCTTTTAAAAATAATGTCTTTATTATATCTTTATTTCCCTTTTAATTTTTCATTTTCCTGTCCAAGTAATTGTCAAACTATGAAAATACTTTCTAGAATTGAGAAGAAATCTCTTCATTAGGCTTATTTTTAATTGGAAAATAGCTCCTCATTTAACACCTTAATACTGAATTTAGAAAAAGAATATGACATGTGATCAAATAACACTTTTCAGTGAAAACCTCTATGTGGAACTTTACGATTATCATAGTGATTGGTTTTAAAATTAGCTTAAGGTAATATAGAAACTTTTGGTGCTGGAGTTTTGATAAACTAATTTGCTTACATAATTTTTAAATGTTTATCTTTATAACAGTGTGTTAATATTTTCTCTGCCCTCAAGGTAATATTTGTTTGAACTTGGTTACCAATTTTTTTAATGTATCATGACTATTTTTAGTTACTAGCTGTGTAATCGTTTAAATGCAAATGGACTCTGTCAATGATACTTTATACAATACACCTTGATCAGAAGCAATTACATATAATCTTTGATTTTAAAGGAGTGAACATACCATGGTCAATTATTAATCATTGACGATCCTCAGTGCTTAACCATATTTCCCTCTACTAGTTTTCTGTTCTATATTTGACCAGTAATGCTCATGCCAGTATTTTATTCTATTATATAAATGATTCTTTTTTTGGGCCAGTAATTTAAATCTCTGAATCATTCTAGGGGAAAAAAATGGCAGTGAAAAGGGACATTGTGTTTTATGCATCCAGTTCCTTCTGCACCAAATTGCTGGATGTCACAAAATCAGGTCTCTGGCTTTCTGATGGAGAAATAATGGAGAAAATCATGGTTTCTAACCCCTTGCTGGCGATATTTTAAGACCATTTGTTCTTTCTGCAAATTTATCACGCACAGACACAAAAGTAGCGAGGCATTTTACTCCTTAGGCAATCCCTATCGCTCTCCTCAGAGACCAGTCAGGAGGGGTACTCCTCCAAGGCTCTCTGCAGCCCTGTGTGTGTTCCTGTTCCTTTCAGACCCCACCTCCACTGCCTGGCTACAGTGCAGCCTGGAATACAGCCAGTGGAGTTTCCCTGATGTCTATATTGCACTTGGCCATTGGGTGGAGGTATACCCAAAGTAAGGAAATAATCTTGGTTTAAAAGAGAAAAATGACATACCGAAAAAAAAAAAAAAGAAAAGAAAAGAAAAGAAAGGCATTTATTAGAAAGATAGAGAAATTTTCTGCCTCCAAGGAGGCGATTTATTTTCCAATTAATATTCAGAGCACTGAAGTATTATTTCAGGAGTCATTTTGGTTATTGTACCTTTCTTAAGGTAGAATAACATTACTAATAGTGTCTGCATGTGATCATCTACAGTCATAATATATACTAGGGGTTGGCTCTTAGAAAAAAATGAATATTCCACACTGAATGCTCAGTGGTAGAAACCTGAAATAATTTTGACGTCAAACTTCCTGATAATCTTGTATTTAGTGTCCATTTTCAACAACATGTTTATCTCCTCCACAGATATTCTGGTATTTATAGAAGTGATAAAAGGAGAAAATGGGTGGCCCTAATCGCTTAGAGAGACTTAAAATTCAAACCAAGGAAGAAGAGCATGTTGGCACTTGTACAACACACATATGTGTGTGTGTGTGTGTGTGCGTGTGTGTATGTATGTATATATATATCAGCTTGTAAAATTATCTGTTTAGGTTGGTGCTGGCTAACATCCAAGAAGACGAAGCTAAAAATAACATTACCATCTTTACAAGAATTCTAGACAGACTTCTGGATGGTTATGATAATCGGCTTAGACCAGGACTGGGAGGTAACAGTAATTTTACTTTTTTTAAACTCTCACAAAATAATGCTTTAAAAAGTTAAGAGTAATATTCATAGTCTATTACATTTTATATATGAATGCATGTATTAAAAAACCATAAATAATAGAAAGGTATATGAAATAAACATTATTTGGGATTCCTTTTTACGCACGCACAATGTACTTAACATATTTTTTAAGACTGCCTAAAATCACAGAGAGCCCAGACTTCCTACATGAAGAGTTCTTAAATTAGTTTATTTATAATAGCTAAGGTTTTCAAACTTAAAGTATATTAAAATGAAATGTTACTGGGCAGCTCTACTTGTGTAGTATCTTCACATTTTACAGATGCCTATTTTCTCAGCAGTACAGATATGAAGAATTGAGACACATTAAAAAAACTATCTGGGTTATAGTTCAACAAATACACAGTTTAGGATTCTATGATGATGTTTATTTACACATACATATGATATTTCTAAAATTAGCACTTGTTTGGCATTCTTGAAACTTGCAGAGATATTTTAGCTATACATTAGCTGTAGGCCTAAATTTATTGGACTGTGGCACAGTTTGATTTCAGATTTAAATATTAATTTTCAACTCAGAAAAACAAATCTGTTTTTATCCATAAAGATAAAGGAAACAAGGCTTGGCTAAAATGTTAATTTTTTTAATATGTTAAATTTTAATTATCCTCTAATTATCCTTAGCTAGGCGATACTAAGGAGATTAGGTGAAGGTAAAGTAGGTGTGTAATTCCTGAAGGATTCCGAATCAAAATATTGTTACCCATCATTTATAAATGAGATCTATATCTCCATACACACATTTATCACCTGTATGTTAAACTTACTTGGATGTTTAGTTTAACGATTAATTAAAAATTAAGAAAAAATAGTTGAACAGTTGATACTAGTCAAAGATTTATATAAGTAGCCAGGTTATTACTGGCAACTTTGTAGTATGAAATTGCTTATAAAGATGTGCATTGACTAAATGCCTAGATGTTTATAAAATACTTTCTTTGAAAAATGCAGGTGGTCGTTAATTCTATGTATATTTGCCAGTGTATGGTTTGGAGTGTTCAGGAGTCAGAAAAAGTCAGAAAAGACCCAACTTGTTAAATAAGTTGCCATTTAATGCTGTTAGTTTTTACTGGAATCCCTGAGAGATATATCTCACTTTAAGAGAAGTACACGGAGGAATAATATTCAGAAATATGGCCCACTGTATCATTCAGATCAGTCAGTTGTTTAATATACACTTAGTTTTCTAAGAGGAAAAACTAAAAGGAAAATAATATTTCTTTAGTAATTAATATTTCTAATGAGCATGAATATAAGGAATCACTCTCTATGTTAGCATATGACAGTGAGCTTTTGCCAGACTCATACTGTAGATGTATGCTTAGCATAAATCTGTCATAATTCATGATGGTGGTTTAAGAGGTAGATTGCCCTAAGGCAGATATTTTTCCTAAGTCATAGATTTTATTTTTTTTTTAATAAATAATGTGCTGTCAAAAATCTTAATATTTGAGCTAGACCTTGGGTTTTGTGTCTGTGAGTTTTTAGGGGAAATATCTACACTGTGGGCGTGCAGCTGGGGAGTAGAAACTACCTGTTTCAGGACGTGGGTCTTGCCATTTAGCTCTTCGTATTTCTTTTGTAATGTTTCTTACATTCTTTTTTTACTTCCACTGTCACCACTCAAATACGGGTCCTTGTCACTATATTACTTGGGTTAAGTGGCTCTTCTTGTCTAGTGTCTTCCTTCCCCAATCCTTCTCTGATAATGGACATATGCTACTATTTCCCAGTCAGATTAGTTTTCTTTTATTCTTACAATGCTTTCCACATATCCCTCACTTTTCTTGATCATATACCTTCAGTGGCTCCCCTTTGCCTTCAGCAGGTGGCAGGAATAGAAGAAGATAGTAGAAGGAATATAGGCCTTGGAGGCAGATAGATCTAGTTGGAATTTCAGTTCCATCCACACACAAAGCTGTGCCTTGGCCAGATAATCTCTGTTTCCTTTCATTTAAAATGGTCGTGGTCTATCTACCTTTCTGCATTACAGGGTTGTTGAGAGGATTATATAAACAAAAAGTGTATACAAGCCTGGTGCCACATAGTAGCAGTTCAACAGAGATCTAGTTCTTCCCTCCTCCCTTAGATTCCTAATGTGCCAGTCAAGTTTTTCTACATTCTATTTCTTGGGCTTCATTTTTATTTTGCCTCCCTCTCATCCTCTACTTCAAATGCATTTGTTCACTTTCTCTTGATAATCCATCCCTATCTGCTTCCTTGGCCTTTGGTTCTGTTATTTCCTCTCACTGGAAGAATTTTTCTCATCCTCTCTGATGATCGAAACCTTTCCTTTTCTATAAAGATCACCTCAACACCTCCAGTAAAGATTTTTCTTAACTAAATTGAGGCACCCAGATTCAGTTTTCTCTCTGTTGAGTTTCTTCAGCCGTTGTGGGCTCTATGTCTCATTTGGAACTTGTTATGTGCTAGCTTGGATTATTTATTACCTTTTTGTGTGTCTCCTGTTACCTTAACAAGATTGTAAGCTCATTGAGGCAAGATACTATATCATAAATCCTCTCTGCTCTCAGCAACTAAATATTGATTTACATATTGTGGCTATCAAATAAATGTTGATTGCTTGATTAACTTTTCTATGACCAGTTAATCATCTATAAAATGGGGCTACTCCTATTTAGCTGACCTTTTCGTTAGAAGTGTTGAGGTGGTATGTCAGGCATCATGCTGCAGGATGATAGTGTGTGTGGCTCAGTGAAGACCAACCTAATTTTAGATTGTGAAGATTTAGGTAAAATCCCAGCTCTGGTACTGAGGAGTCCTACGACTTTTAAGTACTCAGCCTCTCTGGGTCCACATCTGTCATTGATAAAGTGTGATTACTCATACTATTCTTAAAGTATTTGATGAATTTGAAATACAATGGTATATGCAAAGAATTTAGCACAGTGACTGGCATATAGTAGAGAGTTAATAAATAACAAAACCTAAAGGGCTTTCAAATACTCTCTAAATGTACTGTTGTAAATTTAAATTATTAGGATGACTTCTGCATCCCAAATTCTTAGCCTACATGTTCATATGTCATTTCAAATAGAAAGTCCAAGGAAATTATTTGCATCATTATGTCCCAGAAATTAATAAGGAAAAAATGGGTTTCATTCAATTTTAATATATCAAGCTGAACATCTCTTTTGATGAAAAATCTAGATAATTAATCTCAATTATTATTTTCTTTCCCTTATAACTTTAATATAAATGAGTATATAGGAAAAAACAATCAGTTTTGGACTATGAGTTAGAAAAACTGTTCTTTTTACTTGGCTCTACCACTTACTAGATTTTACCCTTGCCAAGTTACTTAGGCATTCTGACCCTTGGTATTTTTTTTTTGGGAAAATGGCAATAATGGTATTTTATCTTGAAAGAAGGAGGGTAAATTGAGATTCATATATATCATGAGGATTATACAATACATTGATAAAATTTTAAGATATTTTATGATTAATAATAGTCTCTTTAAAATTTAAGTTACATCATGCCATTAACTGCTCAAAATTCTGCAATCATTTCTACTTCATTCAGAATAAAAATCAGGTTCCTTGTGGTGGTCTCCAAGGCCCTACATGATCTGTTTCCTTATTCTTTCTTTGACCTCACCTCACACAACTCACCTTCTTGCTTACACTGCTGCAGTCACATTGGCTTCCTCTCTCTTCTTTGAACCACCAGGATACTCCTTAGGGCTTTTTCCCTGGCTCTTCCCTCTTCCCTGGATAGCCTTTGATCTCACCTCCTCAACGAGGCCTACCCTGACCAACCAAATAAATACTGTTACCTGTCTGCCTCTTAATAATTCTGATCCCACTTACACAGCTTCATTTTTCCCCTTTTTTTCTTAGTACTTATTATCCTTTAATATCTAAGATAACTTATTTCTTTATCACTGTTATGTCAATTGCTTATTTTTGTCTCTTTTGCTAGAATGTAGGCTCATTGAAGTCAGGGATTTGTGTCTGTTTTGTTGCTCGATTCACTGATGCGTCATTTATCCCAAGCATCTAGAGCAATACCTGGCATATAGTAAGCACTCAAATATTTCTGGATTGAATTTTAATTTTATTCCTTCGTTTTATTTTATTTTTACTGTGCTATCATGAAAAGACTCGACTGTGGAACTTACATGATCCTTAAATTAGTGGAGCAGTTATCATTTAATTAACACACTGGCCTTCCACTGTTAGCATCAGCATATTTTAGGCTGACATCTTGGTGAATTAGAGCTATTATTACACCAGTTACACCAGTTACTCAATGACTTGATGGTTAGCTGTGATTCTGCCCTGAATGGTGTGATTTTGGGTGATTCATTTATCCCATCTGTGACTTAATTTACTCATCTGTGGAATGGCAGGAGAGGATCTACTTATTCTATTTATATCTCACAAGGATATGATGTGGTTAAAGTAAATTAAAATTCTCAAGAGAGCATAATGTGACATACAACTGATAAGCGTTAGTATTGTCAGGAATATGAAGAGAATTCTTCCAAAAGAACATCTTGGGGAGGTAGTGTCCTTTGAAAATACACCATGAAAATACTGGTAGGTCTTGTACATTGGGTAGGCTTCCTTTTTTGTGAGCCTGGAAACTTGAGATGGGCTTGCCTCGATATCTACCAAGACCATGCATTCAGATTAGCTGAACTAATAACTGAATTAATTTTTCCTCTTGTCTTCATTTTAGTCATTATAGCCAACAGCTTGGAGTATCACACGTGGACTTTTACATTCCATAAGAGGCTTTCAAAATGTTAACTGAATAAAAAGAGCAGCCTTTGTTTTTTGGACCAATTTTATGGGGTCATTGGAGAAATGAATGTGTAGACAGGCCTCATACATTTATGACAGCTAACATCCACAGTGCTCAACAGTGACAACTATTAGAAATGAC